TCTGAGAATGCATTTTACTCAAAATTGGGGGTGTCTAAAAGATATTATTGTTACTTTGTACCTGTCATATTTTATTGCTATTACTATTAATACAGAATAAATCCGGATGGACGTCGTAGGCTACCATGATTCTGCAAACTCTGGTGTTTGTACCGTACCTTATTTATTTCATAACGGCTTTCTTTTGGACTAACTTTTTTCTGGTCACCTAGATTTAATACGTTGTTTAAATTTATTTATACGTAAGAACAGGTTAATCCCCCCCCCCTCCCACCTTGGGAAAGGCCTGAAGACACTTCAATTTCAATCAGTAGCACTGCCCTGGTGGGGGTAAGTGAAGGGTTTACTAATGGGGTCCCCAATTTTGACACACATACACAGAAAAAATTTTAAAAAGCAAAACACAAGAAAACTCCCATTTTGATACAAGCAAACTTTTTATTACAGCAACTTAGATTCCAATAAACAGAAACCATTACATGTGTATTAATCATTGTTACCAATGTTACAGGTTAGTGTTAGTGATTTTTAGTTTTAGTAAGAGTTCTCGTTTCTCTTCAAAGTAAAGAACGTTCTTGATCTTGAGTAGGCTACCCTTCACTATGAAGTCTTTGCCAAAATTGATGAAGGAATGAAAAATCAAACATGGTATGCTTGTCGTTTACAGTAAAACCAACTGAAAAAATGTCCCATTGCAAGTGTAAGCACTAGGCTAGAACTGAAAATCACTACATCTGCATGTGCAAATTACACACTGTTCTAATAGACTTTTGTGAGACATGTTGCCCAGTAATTTAAATAATTCTAAAACAATCCAACCTTCAGTTCCTTTAGTTGTTTTTTTTTACAAAGGTCAAATCCACCAATAACATGAAACAAAAATCAATTTCAAAGCCTCATGAACTATCTACAGTCAAACCTGTGTAAGACGGCCACCCATTGTCAAGGAGAAAAGTGACCGTATAAGACAGATGGTCGTCTTAGGCAGGACTGATCAAGATGAAGAAAACAAACCATTACCATCTGAGATCCCAATCGAAAGTAGCAACATTGTTGTTGTTTTTCTTGAAATTGGTTCCAATTTTGTTTGTAATTTTTATTTTGTTGCTGATTTTGCGCAAGGGTGACAATAAAACGAAATGTATCAAACAGAGTGCCATGTTAAAACAAACACATGGGTCGCCACCACTCGGAGAACGAGCGGCGCTTCTGTCACAAGTTCATGTTGACGTCCTTTGTTACTTTGTTACAGACTGGGTAAACACTGACCATTCATCTCACTTACGATTTGTGTATGAGTCCTGGGCGGGGCTTATGGTTTATGAGGGATCACACGCTTACCTCAATGGCAGCTGAAAATCGGTACCTATTGGTCAACAGAGGGAGGGGCCTACGCAACATGATCGGTTGGAGGGACTACCTAACAAAACGATGATTGAATTATGACGGCTCATCCACAACGCCAGGGGCCAATGCACAATTTATGACAAAACGTAATGGAGTCACTAAGGTGGCCGTCTAAGACAAGTGTTATTGCTTTGTGTGATAGGGGTTGTGTGTTAAAATAAGGTGGCCGCGTTGGACAGGTGCCCGTTTTACACAGTTAAATTTTATCGAAAAAACGCAAGGGGGGGTGGGGAATGGAAAGTGGCCGTTTGTACAGGTGGCCGTCAGGGTAGGTTCGACTGTACTTTGATGGTTATAAGGATAAAGTTGAGGATTTACACGCAGTTTGAATAGATTCGCAAACATGGAATCTCAGATCTTACATTAAAGGTGATCTCTGGATGGATTACACCAAGTGACTGCGCAAAGGGTTAAGACTGCCATGAGGCCGTTTACAAAATGTCTTTTTTAACATCTAATTTTTATCTGTTATTGCTGTTGGCATTGGGTGGGTTAAAAAAAACATTCCCTTCTGAGTTCCCAACTGGAGTGGGTTGCAGGCTTAGGACTGCCGTAAGGCCCATTAAAATGTTTTTCCTTTTTTGTTTTTTTAAGTGGATTCCCCCACAACAAGATCTAGACAGGATCCAGTAGTAGTTGTGAGTGAGCTGGATGAGTTCAAGAGAGTCCCTGGGCCCGCGTCTCCCAGCTATCTCCTGACCTCATAGATGTCTCTCTGGCTGTCAAGTGCTCAGTTGAAGGGCAGCAGACATTTTTATTGCAGGTAAAAACGTAGTGTGCTTGAAGCAGAAAACCCTTCTTGTGTCCACACCATTTTATCTGTGGAATCAGTTTCATCTTCATCAGCATTGTCCTTGGTTGCTCAATCAGTGAGCAAGTCTGTCGCTGGAAGATCCCAGTCTACTGGATTGTTGTCTTATCACTACATGGCTGAAGGGTGAGAGCCCAGCTGTTGCTGGATCGATAACAACAACTGGATTGTTGTCATATGACATGGTCTTGAGTAACTTCAGGAAGTCTTGAAAATGGCTCTCTGATTGAAAGGCCTTTGCTGAGCTGGGTGAGGGCTGTGTAAAAATTGTCATGTACAGCTGATGGCCACAGCCCAGGTACGGAGGCAGTAGCCTCATATTATAACAAGGTCGTAGGCTAGCTGCTCCCTTTGGACACGTACAGATCTACGCCTCCAACTTGCAGCAGTAGCGGACCTGCCGACTAATCCATGACCAAAAGTAGGAATTTTCCCAAGAATTCTCCCCAAAAATAAAAGTTTGTGAGAAAAATCAGAGTCTACAAAACTCTAGCAGATTAAAGTAACATTACAAACTGAAAATAGCAAATAAACGTGCATAGTAAAACCACGCAAATTACAAGTGTAGTCCTATTTCCTTTTCATTTACAATAAGTCAAGCGAATTTTGCAAATAAACCAGTGTTTCCATGTCATTTACGTTGCTGCGCGTGACTGATGGAAATAGAATTCAACAATAAAAATCCAATTCATGCACTCCAATGGAGGTTCTACAACAGGATTCTTTAAAAATCAAAGGGCTCCAATTTTATCGGGAGTAGGGCCTACTTGACAGTTGTGCAGTAGGCATTACTGTTGTCACAGAGTTGGAACAACTTGACACCAAACTGACTCGGCTTATCTGGACGGCACACTTACTCAGTAACTTACTCAGTAGCTGAGATTGTTTCTCCATGTTAACACGGTCTCGCCAAACACCACGCTGAAGGTGAGCTAGAAGTTGGCAGTGAAAGTTCCCGCAAGGCCGTTGAAGAAGGGAAAGATCTTGAAGTTGAAGTTGAAGACGGCGTCGTTGCCTTCCTCTCACCCCTGAGAACAAAATTGTCGTCGTCATTTTGACACGCAGGAAAGTCAGGGGATTTTAAAAACCTGTCTCTTGTCATGTATTTGTATGGGTTTAACACACCTATCGACACCATTGGGTTATTTCATTTAAGAGGCGAGATTCCGAATTTCTAACGTCCATCTTCGATGGGGACAAATCCGAATGGTATGTCAGATATTTTTTCCACGACCATTTTCGAAAAATAAATAAATCCTGATCAGGCCCTGTGGAAAAGCCAGAACTTCAAAATCAAACCACCAAAGCCATGTCTAGGTCTCAGCACACATGGACTTTAAAATTTAACCTCCCTACACTTCTTGAGATCTAAGTACAGGTGGTGTCGGTAGTCTAGTGGTAAGGCTACCGACTCATAATCGTGAGCTTGTGAGTTCGGGGGTTTGAGTCGCAGGCCCGACGTTGTGTCATTGGGAAAGGCACTTTACACAAATTTTCCTGTAAAATGGCAGCTTGCACTGTATGCTTCACAGGAAGTTGAGATTATTGTTTCAGAATATTATTAGGTCTGCTGGGGGGTAATACTTATATATATACTAACAGTATAGTTTGTAAAGTGCATAGAGCTTGCTGCTGAGCGGGGATTTCCACTATACAAATGCTATATCTTTTATTATTATTACAGTGCAGCCAAACCTCGTCACAACGACAAGACACTTTGGGTGCACTGCAAAACCATGGTCCTTGACACCAGGCAGTCGAGGCTATACAACAGAGGAGCCGCGTTGAGCCACCAGCCCCGCTGTTTCGTCAGCTTCATGCTTGACCCAAGGGTGGTGGTATAAGAAGGTTTGACTGTATTCTAAATCATAATTGTCACCTTCTGGTACAAATCAGATCAAAGTTCATTGCCAAGCAAAACAAAGAAAAAAAAAAGGAGAGCTCCAATTTTATATATAATATGTGGACTTGAGGTTCGTTTTTGACTTTGTAACTTTTAGAGATTTATGTCTCTTTTACAACACAAAAAATTCATGACCAGTCGGGAGCAGAATTCTGACATAAATTAACTCTAGTCCTGTGGGGTTAACCATATCGATCGATGACCCACTTTCGTCGCCCGCGAGCTTATGTCGCGGGGCGCCGGGGTCAGACACCTGTCACGCAAGTGTGCCGCAGCAGGTCAGGGAAACACCTAGTTTCGCTGCAATTATTGAAGGGAGTGTGTCTAATTGGAATGAAATACAAGCAGTTTGTACTCTGGAAGACCATAAAAGTTGTTTGGTTCTTTTTGTTACTGATATGAATGAAGAATGTTATTTCAGATTCTCTGGGTGAAAGTTAAGCTTTGGTAATTATTTACTGCAGTTACAAGATTTTAAAAAGGAGAAAGAAAGAAAAAAAAAAGGTGGATTTGGTCATTAGCACTGTAATTTAGGTTTTTTTTAACTGAAAAAAAAAAAGAGGTGAGAACTTTGAGAGCTTTCCCTTTCTTTTCTTTTTTTTTACATAGTACTGCAGTTGGCCATCCATGCATTTCATGCACAAGTGTTCGCCCCTAAGCCACGATGAGGCCCAGTACTTCCGATTTTGTTGGGAGGGGGTTGTCCTAAAAAGGACAGTTGGCCTAGTCAGAAGAGGAACTGCGTGGGGAGGCTTCAGTTGAGTCGTCAAAGACCTGGAGTCTGCGGTACGCCATCTTGTAGTCCTTTTTTGAGTGGTACAGCTCGAAGCATGGAATGAGGCAGAGGCCTACATTGCAATGGACGCACTCAGCTATCTATTATTTCCTCTTCCGACTGTCACCCGGGGCTTTCCTCTTTCCAGTGTTGGTGGTGCAAACAACGCAGAGTCGAGTGGCAGGTCTGACCTTATTCCCTGGTTGCTCTACGGTGCCAGCATGACGAGGGACTCTGCTGGGGAAGTGCCTGGCTGTAAGACGATGTAGTAAAGAATCTCCAGGCTGGAGGCTGGTGCGTCTTGAAGGCTTTGGAGGGATAATCTGTCTCGCCACCTCCTTGGCCAGCTCATGCCTGAACATACGGTGACTGAGGGGCTGTGCAGTCGACTCTTTGTACAGCAAGTAGACGTTGAGCTCTGCTAACATAAAGAAGTGGAAAAAAACCTTCTTCCACCACTTCCGTGTCTTCCGCTTAAATGAGTTGTACTGGACCATCTGATCCGACCAGTCGACAGCTCCCATAAACCTGTTGTCGTCCTTCACCACATCAAACTTGATGATCTGCTCCCGGGTGGCTCTGTCTGCCCGTCCCGTGTCGCTCATACCGCCAGAGTGGATGGATGTCAAGATGTTGACCTCACGTCGATCCATGAACTTGATATGATTCATCGTTCCAATTGTCATGAGCTTTACTTCTCCCTTCTTCTTCAGCACATTCTTCCCCGCCATCTCCTTCGACAGTCCCTTCCTGTTGAGCCTGATAAGTGCCGCATGCTGTTGTCTTGTTGGTAAGTAGGTCTGTCAGGAGGACTGGGGCAGTGTAGAAATTGTCGATGTATAGTCGATGTCCACACCCGAGGTAGGGAGACAGCAGCCTCATCACAGCGTCCTAAACTGCTCCTTTGGAAGAGGCTTTTTTCTTTCCAGTGTAGACTTCAAACTTGCAGCAAGTAAGCGTTCTTGGAGTCACAAAGCTGGAAAATCTTAACTCCAAATTTGTCCGGCTTGTCTGGGTTGTACACACGGAAGCTGAGATTGCCTCTCCATGCGACCATGGCTTCATCGATAGCAACGTTGGCAGACGGACAGTAATTGTCGGCGAAGGTCTTTGCCAGGCTGTCCAGGAACGGGCTAATTTTGAACAATGGGTCGTGGCCGACCTCTTGCAACAAAGTTTTCGTTTTTGTTTACGTGTAGACAAGTGAGAAGGTTTAAAAATCTGTCTCTTGTCATCACACTTGCGAAGAAGGGAAGGTTGTAAATGGCATCAGTGCACCAGTACTCTTGGATGTCAGAAAGTGGAAGAAGGCCCATTCCAGTGACAAGGCCAAAAAAGGCCCACATCTCATTTCCGGTGGTGTCAGTCCAGGTCGCAAGGCGGCCCCTTGATGGCCCTGTTGACCGGAGACACTGTACCGCGTAGCGGTTTGTTTCAGTTGTAATATGTGTCATCATACCCTCAGACACAAAGAACTTGAGATAATCAAGTGGTGTCGCTCCGTCTCTCATCTCAACTTGGGGGCCAGGCTGCTGGACTGGCTCGAAGGGTGGGGGGACTACGGTCAGACGCTCCCTCTCTCCACTCCCCAGTTGTTTCAGTTCTAACGGTACGTTCTTCACCCTCCTCCTCTTCCTCCGCTTGACTTGGCCCACTTGTTGGAATTGACTCGTCGTCACTCCCGTCCCCGTAAAGTTCACCGGGAGAGGTCGCGATACTACCACGAATAAGCTGTGACATGACGGAAAGGTCGCTGATATCAATCTCGGCTGGTTCCATTCTGCTTTATCTGATGACTGCTGACTGCTGGGGTTATCTCGGCGAGTCAATAGTGAAAGATAACAATGAAAAAAGAGCCTCATCTTTTATAGCAAACTGATATGATCTACGAATAAGTGTTACGATCACACGAATAATCCCGTTATCTCGTCGGTTGATCAGAGACACTGAGATTGGAAGTTACACCAAATCAAACAACTTTTCCAGATTTCACACCTATAATGAATGAACTTGCTTATTAGCTATCGTTCGAAAGGGGGGAAAATGGGATAATTTTAGAATATTTTTTTTATTCAGTTGCTCTCAAATTTCTCCCTCTGGTAGGACAATGGTTTAAAACCACCAAATATGATTATTTACATCAGGAAACAACGTTTTGTTCAAGAATTAGATCGTTTGAAAAGTGAGGAAAGGTGTTTGCATTGAGAGCAAGTCCTATTTCCTGAATATCCTTTCGAGTCCCTCAAGTGTTTAACTGGGTCAAAATGCTCATATTTCATTGGATGAATGTCTCAACCGACGCTCCATTATCTCTACCAACGTTTCACGTTGCAAAACAACGCAGAAAGTTCCAGATGGACACACAGGCACAAGCATACTAATGCACACATATATAAGCGCACAAGTGCAGACCCCCAACTAAACGAAAAGCGTTGCCCGCGCGCGACCACGACTGAACAGGGACCAGCTGTGGAACACCGCGCGGAATTGCGCTTATTGGGCAAACATTTATCAGGAACAAGAATCTTAAGGGTTAATCATATGACTTTGTTTTTGTACAGATTTATGAATGTCTTACTATTGATGACCAGGTCAGAAGATAGGAAAGCACAGAGCTGTGTCAGCTACTATACTATACAAAGTCAAACAGAGATAAAAAAAAAAAAAAAGCTTTAACTAGCCTACTGGAAATAAACTTGAAAAAAAACACTAAAACATGCAGAAGCTCACATTAAAATTTCACAACAGTTCATAAATTTCATCAAACAGCCCACTTTTGCACACTTGCCTGTGAGTGTAGTACTGTGTTGGCCACCCAGCTCAAACCTCTCCACCCAGTCTGCTCTTGTTTCAGCATGACATGAAGTGATATTGCGGTTTGAACAGGGTGTTCACCCTTGCGCCACGATGAGGCCCAGTACTTCCAACTTCTGCAAGGGAGGGGATGGGGAAGGGGAACTGTGGCAGCCTCTGCTGGATATCCAGCTCAGGCCAGTCTTGGCTTAGGTCGGCTCAGTGACTGCGCTGCTTCCGGCTTCATGGTGTGCTCTCCAGTGACACGTCCTATCTTGCCAGTCCAACGTGTCGCTCAATCCTCTGATAGAATGCCTGTTTTGGGTTTAACGTTTTACAGTGAAAAGAACAAATCTAACAAAGTAATCACAATTTTTGTTTTTAAAAATTCAATGTGTCAAAGATCACGACTCGTTGACTGTGCTAGACCTTTAAAGTTCAAAAGAAGTTACCGAATGAAAATTCTGGGTACTCTGCCAACAGCTATGAGACGGGCTCAGCTTGAAGTAGGCAAACAACTGTTGAAATTAAATATCTACTTTAATGGTCGCTGCCAACCATGGAATTGGAAGCTAAAAATATTTGTTTAAATTTATAATTTTGTCCCGTGCCCATTCCTAGCAATAGCATAGAAATATCTAGAATATAATGAATTTAGTGGACGCCATCATGACTAATCAAATCATCAATACAACCAGGGGAGACTAAAGTTAGTAAGTACAGTACCAAGAACAAAATAACTAAACATAATGCAAACACTTAACAAACGCTACACAATATACATTCACAAACAGACAAGTCAAACTAAAACTAATTAATAATAACAGCATTACATGTACATTGTTAGCCTTAATTTTTTCATCCTAACATCCTCTGCTCCCAATGAGTCACGAGGCGGGCACTTTCCCACATTCCCACTCCCTAGTGGAGCAAACCAAATTTAGTTAGTCGTCACCAGACAGAAAAAAAGGCCAAAATCTGTGCGCTCAGTCTCACCTACTGGTGACTTTGGTTAGTGGAGACCTACTCTAGGGACATGGACCAGAAAAATAAGACACACATGCAATACACATACATTTGTCTCTACTGTATCTATAGCATCTATCTATGGCCAGTCAAGCAAACCAAAAATTCCAATCACCAAATATTTACACAATTTAAAATTTCTGTAATGTGATGGCCAACTC